AAAAATAATTTTTTTTTAGATATATGATTTATATAGCAACATGGTACCAAAAATATTGTAATATTATAGACTGGTAATAAGACACACACATAAAGTTAAAAATTAATAAATTACAAAGTAAAATTATTTAATTTTGTAGTTGAAACCTATTATCACATTAAACCTAAATCGAAAATAAATACTTTAAAAACATTAGAAAATAATGATTTTAATTGACTATATAAAAAATGTGGGCTACTTAACTCTTTAATTAATAAAGTGGAATTTTTTTAATTGTTGAAAGTAATTATATTATTTGGATAGTAATTTTAATTAGTAAAATATTTTAGCTTCGATACGAGAAGTTTTTCTCTGCCTCTTTTTTTGTAAAATAAATTTTATGAAAAAGTTTGACGTTAAAATTTCTTTTTATTGTTTTATAGTAAAATATCTAGAATATTGTTTAAAAATAAAAGTAATGCTTATTTATCTAATAGAACAAAAGCTATTGGTTTGTTACATTTTTGCGATTCACCTTATAATTAACTTGCAATGACCGCACTTTATAGAGTAAAATTTAAATAATGCTTACTAATTAAATCTGGTAATAAGAACAATTTGTTGTCATTAACCGCAATTCTTTCTAAAGATTGTATGATATAAATATTAGACCATATTTTTCATATTAGAGTACATTTCAACTTTAATAAAATATATATATTAAAGTGTCAGTATTTCCGGAACATTTTCAAAACTTAAGTTGAACAATTAATTTTTTGTTAATATATATAAAAAAAAACATATCATAGTAAAATTGATACCTTCTCAGCTTCGCATCGAAGCTAAAAATTGAAAAAATGTCTAAAATTAGGGATTTTTAAATCTGTAATTTTTTTGGAAGTTTCTCCCATTTACAGGGAATGAGGGAAATTTTTGAAAGATATGTCTTCGACTAGATACAATTGATAATATTTTGACGTATTGTTGAAAGAAATCAGTTCGGTGAGAGCTGAGAAAAAGTAGTAACAGATAGTGTTTAATTTGATAGACTTGGACTATGGCAAAACCTTGTTCGATGTTTTATAATAAATAAAAGAAGATAAAATTGGAACACATATATAACATGTTTTTTAGCTTTAACTCAAAGCTTAATTTTACTATGATATGTTTATTTTTTTTTTGTGTGTCTGTCAATACTTTTTCTATATTTGCATTTATTTCTTAATTCTTGTTAAGGTGGAATGAAATTTAAAATTTGTTTAATTTTTATTTTATTTAGGTTGAATAACTTTAATGAATATCAAGGACACCATTACTGTAGTCTCCTCTCGTGAGAAGGAATTTCTTATTCATATTAAAATAATTTTTCTATGTGATTTTTTTTTGTGGCTGTCATGTATTTTCACATCTCTCATTGGACCTCTTTGTCTCAACTATACGTAAAAAGATCACAAATCATATCAAGCTTAAGACATTACTCTTAAATATTACAATTTTTTCCCTCGTTCCCCGTATATAGTGAAAATCACCAAAAAATTACAATTTATTTAATCGGTAAATATCGACATTTTTTCTTCTGTTTTTCGAAAAATTGTCATAACTTATTAAAAAATGTACAAATCAAAATAACTTTTCATTATATTGAAACCTTAGATATTTTTCTTTCATTTAATATAATTTTTTTGAAAATCTAACACTTAACCTGCTCGCAGGGTGGTTTCAAAATAGCAACTATTTACTAAAATCAACTTTTTCAACTAAACTTTTGAAAAAGTTCCGGAAATCTGCGTTCTTTAAATATATGTTAATTTAAAACTTATGTTTCGTACTATAAATTAAAAAAAAAAAAAATTTTATCTCTACGACTTATCTTCTATGTGCAAATAGCTGCCGTAATTAAAAAAACATGCTATTTTTGTGTTAAATTTTGATTTCCTTTATTTTAAAATACATTACAAGGGTTTGCCATAATAATGAGTCCATCAATTTGTATAAAACTTACATGAAATTAACTTATGTTAAATATTAATTAAACTTATATTGATTATTTTACCTCCTCTAAGTGACTTTGAATTTTTGAACATGCTTTAATATTTTATATTTTATAATTATATATATAATTATATTTTACAGTTTATACTCTCGGGATACGAATTTCGAACCCCGCCAGTCAAATAACACTTTTGAATTTTTATTCTCAATTCATTTTTGATTTCCCTATAGATAGGAGATAAGAATACTTCCACGGCCCCTCAGCCAGTTATAAGAAGCGACTAATGCGGTTGCGTCAGGTCGACAGCTGGCGTAAAAATAATTTTCAAAAAAGTATGAGGAATCCTAAACAAAAACTAGATGGATTGTCCCATCTCGGATGTACTTGGGGACAGCAGAAAGTAGTTAAAAACGGAGAAGGTCTAAGGCCTAAAGTGTTTGATACCAGCCGGACAACTTGTGTGGTAGTTATTTCACCAGTTATGTGTACAGGTCTACCCAATGCTTGTAGTGTCAATGGCGTAGGGACATCACCACTTAACTCTAGGCTGGACTCGTGTATAAGGAAGAAAGATAGATACAAAGTAAGAATAGGTACTTGGATTGTTGGAACATTGACTGGTAGAATTAGAGAATTAGTAGAAGTATTAAAGAGGAGAAAAGTTAATAATTGTTGTTTGCAGGAAACTAAGTGGAAAGGAGAGAAATAGGTTAGGGTTATAAAATAATATACTCAGGTAAGTCTAGTACAAAGAATGATGTAGGGATAATATTGGATGAGGAGATGAAAATTAGAGTAGTAGAAGTAGCTAGGAAAAGTGTCAGAATTATGGTCGTGAAATTGGTATTCGAGGAAAAAGTGGTGAATGTAATAAATGCCTATGCACCACAAGTGGGATGTGATGAAATAGACAAGGAAGTGTTTTGGAGAGAGATGGATGAGCTGATGCAAGGGATACCTGGCAATGAGGATGCGGTGATAGGCAGAGATATGAATGGACTTGTAGGTAATGAAAGGATAGTATACGAAAGAGTACATGGAAGGTATAGTTTTAGTGGGAAGAATGAGGCTAGAGAAAGAATCCTGGATTTTGCAGTGTCGTATGATCTTGTTGTGGTTAATACTTATTTTAGAAAGAGGGAAGAACATTATATAACTTATAAGAGTGGAAGGAATAGATCACAGATTGATTATTTTATGTGGAAAAGAGAGATCGTAAAATGAGTAAAAATTTTAAAGTTATACCAAGCAAGAGTGTAACTACACAGCATAGACTGATGGTAATGGAGTTTTGGTGTACCGGGAAAAGAATATACAAAAACAGAAGGAATACGGGAGAAAAATCGAAAATTCGTTGGTGAAAATTGAAAGAGGAAAATGAAAAAGAGTTTGTCAAGACGGTAAAAGAGAGGATGGTGTGGAATGTCGAGGGAGACATAAATGATGTGTGGAATAAATTTGCTAGTTGTGTAAAGAATACTGTAAAGGAGATTGTTGGTAAGAGTAGGAGTAGAATGCCAGGAAACAAGGAAACCTGGTGGTGTGATGAGGACGTTCAAAAAATTATATATAGTAAGAATAAGCAATTCAAATTATGGCAGAAGAGCAAAAGGAGAGAATATTGGATAGAGTATAAAAACTTGTGCAAAGAAACTAAGTGTGCAGTAAGTAAGGCGAAGTTTAAGAGGTATGATAGGCTAGGAACAAAGGAAAGCGAGAAAGAAATCTATAGACTTGAAAAGATAAGAGAGAAAAGATTTAAAGATTATCATTATATAAGGTGTATAATAAATGTTGATAATAAGGTACTATCGAGTGATGAAGATTTGAAAAAAAGGTGATAAGAGTATTTTAAAAAATTACTAAATGAAGAGTATCCAAAAGAGACATTAGAGAATATCTCGTGGAATGAGGTACTGGTAGATTTAATTAGTGAGAAAGAGGTATGGGAGGCTGTGGCATCAATGAAAAAGAATAAAGCAATAGGACCAGATGAAGTACCAGTAGAAGTATAGAAAATATTAGGCGGTGTTGGCATAAGGTGGTTAAAAGAACTTTTAAATAAAATCTTATTAGAAGGGAAAATACCAAATGAATGGAGGAGTAGTATTGCGGTTGAGTTCAAAATCACTATCAAAAATAAACGCTTCGATGCAAATCTTTAAGTGTTTAATTTTAAAAAATTGATGGATTATTCCAAAAGCTACATGATCTGCTATCTCCTCTTTAATATCCTGACTAAGATAAAGTATGTCGAATGAAAAAGGGATTATTAAAAAATATCATTTCTCATAAAAATATTATGTTGATCCATACACTTTTCAATAAGTTATAGCATTATAAAATTAAAAATGTGAAAAATAAAATCGAGAATTTTCACACAATAATAGCATTCGGTAGCCATTTTCATCGTGAAGATAATTTAAAGTCCAAAATTTTTTTTTTTCATAATAAAGTACATTACATTAGCTTTAATTTAAGATATATATATAAGTGTCAGTATTTCCGTAATACTTTCAAAAATTAAGTTGAAAAATTAATTTTTTGTTAAAAAGTTGTAATTTTGAATTCCCCCCGTGGGCAGGTAAAGGGTCAGATTTATAAAAAAAATATACAAAATGATAGCTAAATACCTCATGTATCTATAAAAAAAAAATTGTATTCATCCATACATTTTTTCAAAAAGTTATGACAAATTTTAGAAAAAAAAAAAATTTTAAAATGTCGAAATTTACTGATTTTTAAATTTGTAATTTTTTTGGAGATTTCCCCATTTACGGGGAACGTTGGAAACTTGTTCAATTTTTGAGGGTAATGTCATTGACTAGATACGATCTTTTGATGTATCTTTGAAAGATATCGATTCAACAAGAGATGAGAAAAAGTGGTAACAGACACCAAAAAAAAACACATCATAGTAAAATTAGTAACGTCTCAGCTTCGCATCAAAGCTAAAAAATTAACATATTTAATAAAATAATATTAAATTTTATATGATAAAATTATGAATATGATTAAAATGTATAAATTATCGCAAGGTATTATACTGGTCCTTTATTATTATAAAATTATAATTGTCTATATAGGACAAATAAAATAATCCATCATATGTTTTGGTAAATCCTTCATATCAACTAATGGGTTCAAACTTTTCTTTCTTTTGAAAACAGTATTTTTGAAATTTTCAAAATTTTCAGTTTTAAATTGATCCAAACCATCATTATTGCCCAGGTCGTAAACATTAAATTCATCACTGTTATCGTTAGTAGTGTTAAAATAATCTATCGGATTATCTGCGCATAAATGATCTGAAAATAATAAGAATTTAACAAAAATAGTAAAATTTAGGTTTAATCTTAAGGAACATAGAAAATACTAAATTCAATAGTTTTTTATGGTGTTAAAACAAACCAAAATACAAAATTACTTTATTTAACACGTCATTATATTATTTGGATAGTAATTTTAATNTAATTGACTATATAAAAAATGTGGGCTACTTAACTCTTTAATTAATAAAGTGGAATTTTTTTAATTGTTGAAAGTAATTATATTATTTGGATAGTAATTTTAATTAGTAAAATATTTTAGCTTCGATACGAGAAGTTTTTCTCTGCCTCTTTTTTTGTAAAATAAATTTTATGAAAAAGTTTGACGNATTAGTAAAATATTTTAGCTTCGATACGAGAAGTTTTTCTCTGCCTCCTTTTTTGTAAAATAAATTTTATGAAAAAGTTTGACGTTAAAATTTCTTTTTATTGTTTTATAGTAAAATATCTAGAATATTGTTTAAAAATAAAAGTAATGCTTATTTATCTAATAGAACAAAAGCTATTGGTTTGTTACATTTTTGCGATTCACCTTATAATTAACTTGCAATGACCGCACTTTATAGAGTAAAATTTAAATAATGCTTACTAATTAAATCTGGTAATAAGAACAATTTGTTGTCATTAACCGCAATTCTTTCTAAAGATTGTATGATATAAATAAATTCAAACGAATTTGTATATTTTCCGAGTTCTTGAAGATATGATTCAACTTCATCTCCTTTTTCTAATATTGTGTCATGTATATGCATTACATTTTTATCCGTAACAATTGTTTTTAATTCTATACTAAACTTTAAGAAATTATTATTCATAAATAATTCTAACTCTTTCAAGATTATATTCGGTAAATCTACATCTTTAAGTTGTATGCCACGAACCCAAGACAAAATTGTATAGAATTTATGAATAATAGATTGAAGAAAACTATATGAAGATTCAATAAAAATATTTAAATCAATGAAATTTTGTATAATTTTTTTAATTTTTTCACCTAATATTTTTATACATAATTTGTCATTCTGTATGTAATTTTTAGGGTTCAGACCAATTTGAACCATTTCACGTACAAAATGTATGTAGTTAGCTATAAGCATTCCAACAGGATGAAAAGTAGCAGCAAGTAAAAGTTTTTGGAATGATGTTACATCAACGTATAAATATTGATACTTCACATAACGAAATACATCAGTTATAGTCAAGTCAGTTTTGTCAGCACATTGTAAACTAAGAGGAGCAAATCGAAGAAGATCTAACATGAATTTTGGTTTACCATCAACAAATTCTTGATGTTGTCTTGATTCAGTACCTTTAGCTAAATTTTTATTTGACTGGTTTAACATTATGCTATAAAATAACATATTACTAGGGTGAAACATTTTTAAATTATTTTTTTCAACTATTTCAGGATTTATTTCCCTAATTATTTTTTCTCTTAAACGTTTCATAACTGATTCTAATTTATAAATATTTAATCGGAGAGATTTATTCTTATTAGGATAGTCGACGAATTCCGATATTGTTTCATTCAAACAAAAAGAATTAATAAAACGATTTAATACTGTCATCATAGAGTAATTTTGTAATTTTAAACCTTGTATACCAAGAAACACTTTGTTGTTATCAACATCATTATCTTCCTGATATTTATACATAACATTTATCGAACCAGAATTATTGTTTAAATATAAATTTACCGTCATCAAGTCATTTACGTCAATATTTTCATAAGTATTATGTAGATCTTGAATCATCAATAATACGACATCGGCATGAGTTTGAATAGCTTGCCCATATTTCTTTAAATCTTCTTCGGTATACAATTCAACATTTTTATACATTTGTAACAAATACTGCTCATTAAGTTTAAAATAATTCAACATGTATCTTGAAAAATTACAATGTCGTTCATAGTCAACAGATTCTACCGTTTTGGAATTAAAAAATAAAATTGATAAAACAGTTATAAAAATCATATTTTTTTTAATTATAAGGAAGTTTTAATAAGAATAAAAATATTATAATTTAATATAAAATATTTTTAAAAAATTAGTTCATTTTATATGGTAGAGTTTCTATTATTAGATGTTCACTTTTTTTTATTCGTATTAAATTTATTTTATGGAACATTTGTAGCTGGCAAAACTATTTTGATGTTTACTAACTATTTCTTATTATAATAACTACTCAGAATTTGAATTATTATTTGATCATTTTATTTAAATAGTAATGTTTTTTACATTTTTTTTTTTACGATTTAGCTTTGTAAAAAAATAATAATGAATAAATTTTAAATTTTATTTTAAAAATAGTCGGATGGACTTGATACCCCTCCCGAACTTAAGTCTGATTTTTACACACTCTTCTAAGACTAACAGCATTACACTGTTACTGCTTTCCACCCTCTTTCTTAATCCTATCAGATCAGCAGGTTATTCTATTTATACTTATCACTCCTCTAAAACTCATTCCCACTGCATCAAATTAAAACATCATCTTATACGTAAACCATTATTTAATCTCTGGTAATCAACACTTAAAATAATTCTTTACTCATCAACTTTTACTCGTTGAATAATTATTCTCATTACCATTAACAAACTGATATACTTTAATCATAAATATAATATCAATTTAATATGAAATTAATGCTTACTAGAATAAATTAATGGACTAATATTGAAAAATCCAGCACAGTGGGATCGTGACACAGTGGGGACGTTGAGTCTAGTATAGATTTAATCTGACAGTGATTAAAATCACTATCATAAGAAACGCTTCGATGCAAACCTGTAGATAATGTTTAATTCTAATTGGTGGATAATTACAAAAGCAACATCAACTATTTCCTTAATTATATCTTAATTATAAGATTTAGTAAATCTTAGATTCAAAAATATAATATAAAATTATATATTATATAATTATTATTGATATTGATTTTTAATATGTTAAAAGTAATAATTTTTAACATTCTTTATTTCATCCTTTAAAGTGAAAGTTTATAATGAAAAAAAAAAATGAATTTATTACCATAAGCTCAACTTGCAACTTTAAAATTGACATTATTAAATAAAAAAATTAAATTGTTAAGATTAATATGCAATCAGGAAATTTTATAATTACTATTTACAGTAAATTTATCAGAAAATTTCGATTTTTTTTTATATTTTTATCGTAATAGATCACTTAAATAAAATCATAGTAATCATTTCTAATTAACTATTGGTGTTTAAAAAGATTCTACAATGGAAATATTCAGAGCTTAATTAATTTTAGTAATTTACTTTAACTAAATGAACCAATCAAAACAAAGTAGTTAAAAAGATTTACTCAATTGAGCGTATTATAAAATATAATTATAATTGTAAAAATCCATCTTTAAATTCAGGTGAAACTAAAAATCATTTTTTTTTTTAATTTATGATTTATATAGCAACATATTACAAAAAAATTTGGCATATTATAGACTGGTAGTAGCAAACACAAATAGAGTTAAAAAATTAATAAATTACAAAGTAAAATTATTTACTTATGTAGTTGAATACTTTTATCATATCAAATCTAATTCGACAATAAATACTTTAAAAATATTAGAAATGAATGATTTTAATCGTTTGTATGGAAAAAACTGGTTAAGCTACTTTTTATTTGAATAAAGAAATTTTTTTCAATTTTGAAGGGTAATATCTTCAACTAAATACGAATTGTAATCATTTGACGTATCGTTAAAAAAAGTAGGTCAAGTTAGAGCAGAGAAAATAAATGATAGTCACAGAAAAGTATCTTCTCAGCTTTGCATCGAAGCTAAAACTTAAAATATAGTAAAATTTTCACACAAAAATAGCATTTGGTAGCTATTTTCACCGTGAAGACAAAATAAAGTCGACATTTTTTTTTGCATAATAAAGTATATTACATTAGCTTTAATTTAAGATATGGGTCATTCAATGTGAAATCACCAAATGTGTGTGCTGGTATAGTTCAGAAATTTATGAAATTTATATCATAGACTTCTTAAAGGTCATTGACAACAAAAATAATATATTTTTTTTTTATTGTTTTTTCACCAGATAATGCATTTTTTATATTTAAAAACATGAAAAACAGCCTATGTTCTAGAGCCTATAACTTCACATCCAAATAAGCTATCACTGTAAAACTAGCACTGTTTTACTCATATTAAATAGTACTTCAATTTCATACTTAAGTTTATAAATTTTGAATTTTTTTGAATATTGAAATTTTGATTTAAATTTTGCAGTATTTTAATAGCAAAATTTGAAGGTCAAAAAATGTTTTAATTAAAATTTTTTTTTTTTTTTCAGAAATATTTAGTAATGATCTTTTAACCCATATTGTATTTGAATCAATTTATAATTTTTTTTGTATCGTTTTACGGTATTGAACATGCAAGGTTTGCTGAAAATAGCCAACATTATTATCTCATTATACAAAAGTGACTGAACGAATTTTTTTCAAATTTACTTAGTACTTTTCTTTAGGCAATTAAAACGTCTGGTGAAAATTTTATGATGGAGAAATAATTTTAACGCTACTTATGAAATTTACAAAATTTACAATTTGCGTATTATGGAAAATCCACTAACTACGTAATTTTCAACACTCAATTTTAATTTCTTGTATTTATTCTGCGTTCTGTAGTAGATTAAGTTATTGGAACTCATAATAAAATCCTTGGAGCAATGGCTAAGTTCGGAAAAGCTCCATTACTTTTCTTCATAAAGTTAATTACATCTATTGATATTGTTGATTCTTCGACTACGTTTTGACAAATTAAGAAATTTATTTTTCAAATAAATATACGCACAAATATCTTTTTAATCTTCAGATTGAAAATGTAATACCAAGTCCATATTATGATTATGTTGAAACTTTCATGGATTATCATATTATTTGAAAAGCTTGAGGATTTATCCATGTTTGCAATGTTTTGGTGCACAATTCCAGTAAACTATGTAGTTTTTCGTTTAACCATTATTATTCTTTTATGATATTTAGTATGTCTTTTACTGGTACCATTGTGAATAACGAGACTACGTCGAAGCTGACCAGAATGTCTCCGTATTCCCAGTTGGTTTGTTGCATTTTTCCACAAAAACAGTCGAGTTTTTTTACATAGGAAGATGTTTTTCCTGTGTAGGTTTTCAAAATTTGTGCTAAGTGACCTTCCAGGTCATATGGATAAATTACAAACATGGATAAATCCTCAAGCTTTTCAAATACCAAGTCCATATATTTAGATCTAATAATTTTTTGTTTTTAAGAACTAACCTATTATTGTATAACTTTGTATTTTATTGTATTTGATTATAATTAGGTATGATGTAAACAGATATAAAACTTATATTTATACATAATATATAAATAGAATTAAATTATAAGGAAATTTATAATAAAAATTATTCTATAATACACTCAACATTATAACACATTTTATTATATTTTTAAAATAATAAAATGATGTAAAATACATAATATTTGAAAAAATTACGACTTTAAAATTATTTACTTATAATGATATGTAGTATTTTATTTTCGTGTAGAATAAATACAAAAAATTTAATGTTGAAAATTACGTAGTTCATGACTTTTCCATAATATGTAAATGATAAATTTTGAAACTCTATAAGTGGTGTTAAATTATATCTTAATATTACCAAAAGAGCACATTAAATAAATAGTCAGAAACAAGGTGTGATAGTATCAAAGCAATAAAGTTTAATGTCACATTCAAGAAATTATTGATGCGTTAGATGAAATATTATATACTACACATGTTCCGCTAATTAAAAATCACACTAATTCATTAAATTCGGAGATTAGTACAATAGAAATCCTTATGAGTTTATTTATTTGGTATAAAGTATTTGTATACTACAGCATAGTAGTCGAAGAATCAACAATATCTATTGATGTTAACTTTAATTAACCTTATGAAGAAAGTAATGGAGCTTTTCCGAACTTAGCCATTGCTCCTGGTTTTTATCATAGACGATAAGGTGTCGGGACAAATTTTTTTTTTTATTTTAAAGTGCATGGCATAAGCTTTCATTTGGTATATGTTTAAAGGACGCAGTATTTCCGGAACATTTTCAAAAGTTAAATTGAAAAAGTTAGTTTTCCTAAAAAAGTTACTATTTTAAATCTCACCTGTGAGCAGATGAAGAGTTATTTTCAAAAAAATGATATTTAATAAAAAGGAAATATCTAAGATTTTAGTATAAAAAAAAATTATGTTAATTCGTTGATTTTTGAAAAAGTTATGGAAGTTTTTAGAAAAACAAGTGAAAAAAATGACAAAATTTACCGATTTTAAAAATGTTAATTTTTTGGAGATTATCCCCATTTGCGGGGAACGAGAGAAAATTATTCAATTTTTAAGGGTAATATCTTCAACTAGATACGATTTGTGATCTTTTGATGCATTTTTGAAAGAAATCGGTCCAGTGAGAGCTGAGAAAAATTAGTGACAGACACAACAAACAAAAAAAAATAACCATATCATGGTACAATTAATAGCTTCTCAACTTCGCATCGAAGCTAAAAAAATTTGAAAGTAGCATTTACTTTTAGCTTCGATGCGAAGATGAGAAGGTATTAATTTTACCATGATGTGATTTTTTTTGTGTCTGTTACCACTTTTTCTCAGTCTCACCGAACCGATTTCTTTCAATGATACGTCAAAAGATCACAAATTGTATCTAGTCGAAGACATTACCCTCAAAAATTGAAAAAAATTCCCTCGTTCCCGGTAAATGGGGGAAACCTCCAAAAAAATTACAAATTTAAAAATCGCTAATTTTCGAAATTTTTTCAATTTTTTTTATTTAAAAGTGCCATAACTTTTTCAAAAATGAACATATCAATATAATTCTTTTTTATATAAATGCATGATATCGTTACCTTTCATTTGGTATATTTTTTTCATAAATTTAACCCTTAACCTTTCCACAAGGGGGATTTTAAATGACAACTTTTTCACGAAAAATTTACTTTTTCAACTTAAATTTTGAAAGTGTTCCGGAAAGTCTGACACTTTTATCTATATCTTAAATTAAAGCTAAGTGATGTACTTTTTTATTTAAAAAAATTTCGGACTTTATTTTGTCTTCAGGGTGAAAATGGCTACCAAATGCTATTTTTGTGTGTAAATTCTCGATTTTATTTTTTACATTTTTAACTTTATAATGCTATAACTTTTTGAAAAATGTATGGATCAACACAATATTTTTATGAGAAATAATATTTTTTAATAATTCCTCTTTCATTTGACATAATTTATCTTAATCAGGATATTAATAAGGAACTAGCAGATCATGTAGCTTTTGGAATAATCCACCAATTTTTTAAAATTAAATACTATCTAAAGATTTGCATCAAAGCGTTTTTTATGATAGTGATTTTAATCAATGTCTGATATCATTATACTTGATCCAACTATGCCACGCCACCACTGTGCCGCGCCCCATCTGTGCTGGGTATTTTAACTCTATTTGTGTGTTACAGGAGTCTATAATATTCCAATTTTTTTAGTAACATGTTGCTATATATAACTATATATATATATATATATATTTAATAATCCATCAATTTTTTAAATTAAACACTATCTAATTTACTATATTTTAGGATAAGGGTGGCCGAACACAAGTAGTTGGGATTAAGGCGAAGAAGAAGAAACATTAAATAGATTTTCATCGAAGTGTTTTTTATGATAGTGATTTTAATCACTGTCAGATATCAATATACTTGATCCAACTGTGCTACGTCACCACTGTGCCGTGACCCCCCTTTGCTGGGTTTATTAGCTTCTATTATTAAATATTATAGCTCTACAATTACATAAGAATTAGATAATATAGTATTAATTACAAAAATAATGAGTGTTGGTTAGTATAATTAAAGTAAAGTATATGCAATAAATTATAATATATAATAAAGTAGTTAAATAATACAACCAGCGCTCAATATAATAGAAATGATCATAGTAATCACAGGAGTAGAATGGGAATTTAGTACAACAGAGAGAACAAAATTGGAAATTACATTGGATTCTAGAAATTTTATAAGCAGGCACCTATTAGGCGCCAAGGAGGAGAAATTCAATAAATAGTTAGAAAAATCATCGAGGACTTCATCCTCATGTAAATGACAAAAGGGGACAGAGTTCAGGTTTAATTTGTAAGCGAATGCTGGTAAAAGGTTATAATCCAGTCTGAGTCGCGAAAAGCTTGAAATGATATTGCCAGTAAGTTCTAGTTGATGGAACAACGGAATTTTTAAGTTTTCACACAATTATTTTAAATGTCATATGTTGATAAATAAATACAAAACAATTAATTTAAAAATGAAAACCAAATATAATTTTAAACATATCCACACATTTTGAAAGTTTATAATCAAAATTATTTTAATTAGTATATTTAAATAATTACTTTTATCGGTAAAATAATATATACCAATTATAAAGCTCATTAATAATATTTTATATATTTGTTCAAAAATTCATCAATAAAATGTGCCAGAAAATAATTGAACATTGTTTTATTATTTGCATTTTGTGTTTCACATATAATTGTTCTCTTTTTAAATATGTATGCTTAAATCATTATTCGAATTCGAATAACATTTTATAATATATTTAATGATTTTATTTAAGGTAATTCTGTCCCTATACTTTTAAAAACTAACTTAGATTCAATATCATCTTTGCGGCATACATAATTGTCCATATCATCTTCACAAACTGAAAAGTAAGGCAGAAGCTTACATTTGCTGTTTCGTGATGGTGGATCTAAACAAATTCTTTTTTTTGCGGGTAATTCTACATGTAAGAAAGCCGAACATACATTTGTTGAATACTTTAACATATTGAAGACCCCACCATATCTATAGAATCTAGCTGTATGTTTACCACGACCTTTATACATATCTGTTAGGTAACCAAGACTGGAAAGCTCATTTTTTAAATCAGCTTTACACTGATTCTTTTTCGTTAATTTACCAATCGGACACGTCATTTGAGAACATTTATTGATAGATGCTCTAAATATAGTAAAGGCTTTGCTATGTATACACATTGGTTGAAAACAATCGTTTTCGTCAATATAAATATCCAAATGACCAACTTCATTACACATTCCTAAAATGGAACTTGCATGAATAACATCAACAAATTTGGCATCAGTCTTGCGTAAGGTGTGTGTTGTATTGACTTTATATGCTCCATACGCCGAATGCTCAAATATAGGACCAGCTGGATCAATAGCTGCAATTATTTTTCAATAACTATAGTTCAAATTTGTAAAATTATAATAAAAATTTCGAAGTTAGTTAAAATTATTTGTTTACTATATAAATTGAGCATATAATTCGTAATTCACCGTGCAGTATATTAATTTTTTACTTAATAATTCTATGATTTTTACTTTTTAACAAATTATGTACTTACCTGAAATTCGATCTATTACTCTTCCGGAATATCTCTTTACTGTTCTGGCAGCAATTCCACTTATATGCGCACCGAGACTATGACCAACTAGATAGATGTATGTAGTTGGAGGGATATATTTGTTAATATATTCAGCTAAATATTCGCCTACTATAGGAACATTATCCCTAACGACAGTCTCATAATTGCTTATTATGTACCATGCAGAGTTCTCTGCAAAATATAATAATTTACTACATAAAAAACAAAACAACTTAAAGTATTGGCGCAATAACAAGAATGGATAAGAGAGATTAAACCCATCACACTATCTTAAAATCCTTACAAAGCCTAAAATGCAACTGAAATACATTTAATATATAAAAATAGCGTTTTTTTAACTACAGCATGCCTTTGTACTTAGAAGTTGAATAAGTTCTACTTTTTACTCGTATTTTTAAAAATTTAAACCCCCCTGTAAAAAGGAAAATAGTCCGATTTAAAAAAAAATTATGTCAAATAAAAGAAGTAAACATAAAGTATTTATGAAAAAAAGTTTAATTGATCCATACATTCAATTTATTTGAATTATTTATTTCATTTTCAAGAAGTTATAGTAATTTAGAGTTTATTAAAAATAAAATATGAAATCGTAAATTTTAACACAAACATTTGCACATAGAAAATAAGTCGTCGGGACAAATTTTCTTTTTGAACTTATAACATATGCTTTATTTTAACACGTTTGAGGCGTGGAGTATTTCCACAACATTTTCAAAAATTAAGTTTAAAAAGTTAAATTTTTGTGCACTAGTTGCAATTTTGATTCTCCCCCCTATAGGCAAGTAAAGAGTTAGATTTTCAAAAATATTATATCAAATAAAAGGGAATTATTTAAAGTTTCAATAAAAAAAAATTATGTTTATTCGTTAACTTGTCAAAAAAATTAGCAGTTTTAAGAAAAAATCAACCGCACAGTAGGGACGTGGCATAGTTTGGTAAAGTATCAAATTATCTGACAGTGATTAAAATCACTATCATAATAAACGCTTCGATGCAAATCTTTAGATAGTGTTTAATTTTAAAAAATTGATGGATTATTCCAATGCTACATGATCTGCTATTTCCTTATTTATATCCTGATTAAGATAAGGTATGTCGAATGAAAGAGGGATATCTCATATAAATCTCATAAAAAAAATTTATTAATCCATACACTTTTCAATAAGTTATAGCACTATAAAGTTAAAAATGTAAAATATAAAATCAAGAATTTTCACACAAAAATAGCATTCGGTGGCCATTTTCACCGTGATGACAAAATAAAGTCGACATTTTTTTTTTTTTATGATAAAGTATATTACATTAGCTTTAATTTAAGATATATATATAATTATCAGACTTTCCGGAACACTTTCAAAAATTAAGTTGAAAAAGTTAATTTTTTGTAAAAAAGTTGTCATTTTAAATCCCCCTTTGGGCAGGTTAAGGGTCAGATTTATAAAAAAATATACCAAATGAAAAGTAAACCATCATGCATTTATAAAAAAAATTATATTGATTTGGTTATTTTAAAAAAAAGTTATGGCAGTTTTTAGTAAAAAAAATTGAAAAAATTTTGAAAATTAGCAATTTTTAAATTTGTAATTTTTTTGGAGATTTCCCCTATTTGCGGGGAACGAGGGAAAATTTTTAATTTTTGAGGGTAATGTCTTCGACTAGATACGATTTGTGATCTTTTGACGTATTGTTAAGAATAATCGATCCAGTTAGAGCTATAAAAAGTATTGACAGACACAAGAAAAATAAGCATATATTGGTAAAATAAATAAAAACCAAATCGTCCCAACTACATATCGAAGCTAATAGCAAATCAATTATAAATAAATCGGTTCAGTGAGAGTTAAGAAACAGTGATAATAGACACAAAAAAAAATTTTAAAAAAACACATAATAGTAAAATTAATACTTTCTCAGCTTCGCATCTAAGCTAAAAGTGAAAAAAATTTCAAAATGTATAGATTTTAAAAGTCGTAATTTTTTGGGGGATTTGTGCCATTTACAGGGAACGATGGAAATTTTTTCAATTTTCAAGGGCAATGTATTCAACTAGATACGATTTGTGATCCTTTGACAAAAAAAAACATATCATGGTAAAATTAATATCTTCTCAGCTTCGCATCTAAGCTAACAATGTTTTGGATGTTAACCAACTCGCACATTGGGTAACTTTAATGAGCTGAGCACATTTGAACTACTCAAAAAAACATCTATTTTATTTCTAGATGCAATTAGACTACGAGAAAAAAATCACCGTGAAATCTTAAAACGCACTTCGTAATACCTTTTGTAGACGCACTGAAGACATCGGAAAAGGGCAATTTTGGGATGCAATCAAAATTATCTAAATAAACAGACATGATAAACTCCTTCCGCCCTAATATAAAAGTGGTAGTATCTTTTAAAATATTGGTTCAAAAATTGTTATTGATCAGTCATTATCTTATTTTTTAATTTAGTTAAATTTAGTAAAATATATGTTTTCATTTAAAAACTTCAGATAATATAATTTTAAAAAAAAGTCAAGGACCATTTTTTTTTTTTTAATTAAGAAAATATGATATTATTAACTTTAAAAAATATATATATAATATGTTCTATACTTTTAAAAATATTGCGTGAAGCAAAGTTAGTCAATCACGCTGTTGCATAAATACTCTCAAATTTGTTGCATTTTTCTTACCATAAAGTGAACCTTTTCTCCAGTCGACAAGTATGATACAACCAAAATCATCAGCACCTTCAAATAAAGCATTTTTTAATTCTACTGAATCGGTTAAATCTGGTGTCCTAAAACCATGAATGTAAATCATCACTTTTTTCATGTGATCAAACACTACAGTCCTTGCATCCAATGTTTCATTAGGGTTTTCAGGAAAGTAAGCAAACATGTGATCAACCATCAAAGGATCAGATTTTAGAGCAATTTTTAAGAAAGTATAATTTAATACTGGATATTTTACACCTTCGAGGAAATGTTCTATTTTTGCTGGAGCATTTATTGTAAATTCATTGGATGGAGTTCCATTAACTATGTAAATTATAAAGATAATTGATACCAATGTTAATATGCACTTACGAAGTCCAATCAATATCATTTTTAAAATTTTAAAAACCTAAGTAAACAAAAGTAAATTAAAATATTTTTCAGTAATATTTAAATAATAAGAGTTAAGTGGTATCGACAACATATAAGTTACTACACTATTTATACAGAATGATTGTTTAACTATGCCTCACTCAATATCTTTAAAAATATAGAATATAATATTATTTCTTCTTTGCGGAAGTTAATAATATCCTACGATCTATTATTTAAAAAAAATGTTCCTAACCTTCCTTATTCCCCTTAAATTTTGGAAACTTTTTAAATGAAACATATTTGTTTAACCCACTTAACAACTAGAAAATAGTTGGTTTATAACACGTTAATAACCAATATTTTAAAAGATATTAACATTTTTATTAAATGGCGGGAGGAATAATGCGGATCATTAATGCTTAGACATAAAAACGCTTACACAGTATGGACGTGGCACAGATAAGACAAGAAAAGATATCTGACAGCGATTATAATCACTATCATAAGAAACGCTTGGATAAAAATCTGTAGATAGTGTTTAATTTAAAGTTGGTGGATTATACCAAAAGCAAAATTAAATCCTATTTGCTTTATTATTCTTGATTAGTAGTTCTTTGATTTGGAAGTATAATATATGAATAAATATTTATTATATGTATAAAATTTAGTATGAAATTGATATTTAGGAATATACTATTGTAATGCATAATTTATTTTATAATTATTTTATTATAATTATTATAAAAATCATCAAGTAGTGTTGCATATTTCTTTACTTTTAACATGTATAAAAATTTAAGACTTAATGTAATACATTTCAAAAAAAATGTTTGTTATTTATGAAAAATTATTATTTTCGTTTAAAAAAAAATTGTATCAAATTGTTACTGATTTTGATTTTTAATATGTTAAAAATAATCTAACAAATTATGATTTTTTGTGAACTACTTTTTTTAAATAACTTTTATGAAAGTTTATAATAAAAAAAAGTTGAATTTTCTATCATAACTTTTAAATCAAATTATAAATCTGAAATTGACATCAATGAATAGAAAATTTTATGAAAAATTGTATTGTTAAGATTAATATGTAGTCAGGAAATTGTATAATTACTATTTACTGTACATTTATAAGAAAAGCTCAATATTTTGTTTTGCATTTTTATCGTAATAGATAACTTAAATAGAAATAATAGTAATCATATCCTAGTAACTTTTGGTGTTTACAATTATTCTACAATTGAAATATTCAGAACTTGATAAATTTTAATGATTTACTTTAACTAAAAAAACCAATCAAAAATTTGTTAAAAATCTAATCAATTGAGCGTATTATAAAATGTTTTTATAATTGTAAAAATCGATTTTTAAATTTAGGTGAAACTGAAAATCATTTTAGCTTCGATGCGAAGCTGAGAAAGAATTGGTTTTACTATGATGTGTTTTTTTATTTTTTTTTTTTGTGTCTGTTACCACTTTTTCTCAGCTCTCACCGAACGGATTTCTTTCAACGATACGTCAAAAGATCACAAATCGTATCTAGTCGAAGACATTACCCTCAAAAATTGAAAAAATTTCCATCGTTCCCCGTAAATAGGGGAAACCTCCAAAAAATTACAAATTTTAAAATCGCTTATTTTCGAAATTTTTTTTTTATTTTTTATTAAAAATTGTCATAACTCTTCTATATAGATGCATGATATCGTTACTTTTCATTTGATATATTTTTTTTATAAATCTGACTTTTTACCTGCCTACAGGGGGGATTCAAAATGACAACTTTTTTACGAAAAATTTACTTTTTCAACTTAAATTTTGAAAGTGTTCCGGAAAGTCTGACACTTTTATCTATATCTTAAATTAAAGCTAAGTGATGTACTTTTTTATTTAAAAAAATTTCGGACTTTATTTTGTCTTCAGGGTGAAAATGGCTACCAAATGCTATTTTTGTGTGTAAATTCTCGATTTTATTTTTTACATTTTTAACTTTATAATGCTATAACTTTTTGAAAAATGTATGGATCAACACAATATTTTTATGAGAAATAATATTTTTTAATAATTCCTCTTTCATTTGACATACTTTATCTTAATCAGTATATTAATAAGGAAATAGCAGATCATGTAATTTTTGGAATAATCCACCAATTTTTTAAAAATAAACACAAATTTTGAACTTGTAAGATTTATAGAATCGGATATTGTCTAAGGAGGAGTGGAGGGAGCCCCCCCCACAAGCTTTTCATGGGAAACAAATTATGGAAAATGATACAAGGGCCCAAAATTGTTGGCCCCTCCAATAAACATTTTCTGGCTACATGCCTGGATTGAGTGGCACAGACACCAAAAAAAAAAACCTAGCACAGGGGGGTCGCGGCACAGTGGTGACGTGGTATAGATGGATCAAGTATAATGATATCTGACAGTGATTAAAATCACTATCAAAAAAAAAACGCTTCGATGCAAATCTTTAGATAGTGTTTAATTTTAAAAAATTGGTGGATTATTCCAAAAGCTACATGATCTGCTAGTTCATTATTAATATCCTAATTAAGATAAAGTATGTAGAATGAAAAAGGGATTATTAAAAAATATTATTTCTCATAAAAAAATAATGTTGATCCATACACTTTTCAATATGTCATAGCATAATAAAGTTAAAAATGTAAAAAAAAAAATTGAAAAAATTTCGAAAATTAGCGATTTTTAAATTCGTAATTTTTTTGGAGGTTTCCCCCATTTACCGGGAACGAGGGAATTTTTTTCAATTTTTGAGGGTAATGTCTTCGACTAGATACAATTTGTGATCTTTTGACGTATCATTGAAAGAAATCGGTTCGGTGAGAGCTGAGAAAAAGTGGTAACAGACACAAAAAAAAAAAAAAAAAAACACATCTTAGTAAAACCAATACCTTTTCAGCTTCGCATCGAAGCTAAAAAAGTAAAAAAAACACATCATAGTAAAATTAATACCATCTCAACTTCGCATCAAGCTAAAATTGAAAAAATTTCGAAAATTACCGATTTTTAAATTTAAAATTTTTTTGGAGATTTCCCTCATTTACGAGGAAAATTTTTCAATTTTTGAGGGTAATGTTATCGACTAGATACAATTTGTGATTTTTTGACGTATTGTTGAAAAAAATTTGGTGAAAGCTGAGAAAATGTGGCAACAAACAAACAAATCATAGTCAAATTAATATCTACGCATGGAAGCTAAAACACATAATTTTAAAATAATAAAAATTTTGAGTTCCATTGTTAAGATAGTAATAGTATTTAAATTTATTAAAATGTCATTTTTAATGTTCTAAAACGTTTTATTTAAATTTATTTAATAAAATTATTAAACTAGTTATATTAAAACTAGCAAACGAAAATTTTGATTAGAAAATAGGGGTTTATCATTTTGTTGAACAATGTTACTGACATTTTTCCTAATATATTCAAAGCTACGCATCACATTCATTACTTATAATAAAGTGTTAATAACTTCCAAAATACTGGTTTAAAATTTGTTATCAACCAGTCATTTTCTTAGATAGATCATTTTATGGTTTATAAATTGGTTACATATATATGTTAATTCAAAATTAAAACTATATTAAATATATTATTAATTTAAAAACAAAAAAATATTAAAAATATTTTTAATATAGTTTTATCTTAATTTAATTAATTAGCCACAAGTGATTTTCTATTACATATGTATATATGTGTTGAACCAACAATATATGTTTATATTTAAAGAACCAAAACTGACAAATGTTTAAGAGGGAAAAATAGGGATGGGGAACACATTTTTTGTAATTATAAAACGTAGGATACAATTAAATTCCGAAAAACAAAATAACATTATATTTTATATTTTTAGAGTTTTTGCATGAGACATAGTAAAATTGTATATCAAAAGGAAAAAATGTTTAGTTTAATAAAGTTCTATTATAATTATTTATATTTATATTTATTTACTTTTAAGTAATTTGTCTCAAACCATACTTATTACATGTATTACAATAATTTTAAAGAAATTAGGAATAGGTAAAACCCAAGATACTTATTCTTTAACTTTATCATTGAAAATAGTCTCTTATTTACTAATTTAATACTCATAACCCAGTTCAAATATATTAATAATAATTACGATTTAATAAAATATAAAATTATCTCAATTTAGACAGGAAATATTTTCCTTTTATAATTACTATAATCAAAATCTATATATAAAAAAAAAACATTGAAATAAAGGCATGATAAATTACCTCAATATTTATTATGATTAACTTTGATTACATAAAAAACTTAAGCTCGAAGGTAGATTACTATGAAGGGTTTATCTAAACATCTAATACTACATGCAAAAATTAGCACCCCAATCTAGGGATCGAACCATGGACATTGATAATTGTACAATCAAAAGCACACTACTCGATTAGTTATCGAGTATTGGCGCAATTAAGGGGGGTCTTAGTCCCCCTGTTTTTGTATTAAATATTATGATTTTATGATCATATTTGATTAATATGATAGTGGGGCTTAAGCCCCCCCAAAATATTTGGGCTAATTGTGCCATTGTCGATAGCTATGCATTATCTTACCAGGTTTCAAGTTAAACAGCATTAAAATAGTTTTATATTACATTTATACTTTGACATGAACCACGGTCCCTATAACAGATTTGTAATATTTAAAGTAAAAGAAAAAACTTCTAATAAGTTATTTATGTCACTTTTAGAAGAATTTTACTAAATAAATAATTGAATAAAAATTAAACTGTACTCTCAAAATAAAATTAAAAACTCAATGATTTAAAATTAATTTAAAAATAATTTTTGACCAACACTTTTTTCCAATATAATATATTGAATAACTGATATCAATTAAAATATTATTTTCAAGTTTTAATTTTATAATCAATTATTCTAAGATTACATTCAAATACTCCATATAATTTAATAAATAGATATTCTTATAATATTAATTTTCCTAATATGTTAATGAAAATAGTAACGTTTGATATTACCTTTCAATGATTAACTTCCACTAAAATTAGAATTACATACTTTTAAAATGATATCTACAGCTTGAATGAGCATGTATTAATTTAAGTATTCTAGATTTATAACGATAAACTAAATAAATGTTATGTTTGCTTTTCGATTCCAGTACTAAAACACTTAGTAAAAAAAATTTTTAACAGTTAGTTTATGGATGTTTTCATTTCACATAACCTATTTTGTTAAAAATAGTAAAATTAATATGTTTAAAATGACTATCTCAAATACAATGATATTATGTAAAAAAAACATCAATCATCTATAGCCTACACTCTATATATGTATCAGGTGACCTTATATCATTTTATATAAAACTAATTGCTACATTTAATAATTATCCAGGCAATTAATCTACCATAATCAAAGATTTATGAATGTTTTAGTTAAAATAATTAAGATAAGTATGTGTATAAAGAATGAAAAACAATTAACTGTAAATATAAAAAGATCAGATAACTATTACATAAAACAGATAAGAAACATAAATCTCTATATTAATTTCATTACTAGTCTTAAAATATTAAATTAACTATTGATCATTTGAATGATCATAAAATAATAGACACATTATAATCTTCAATTTTTATATAATTACACATAACAATAAATTATAAAAATTATTCTCTTATATACAATGTTTAGATAAAAGCCATACGAAATTTCAACGCTGATTCCGAATTTAGTTTCAGATCTAGTTTTGAGATAATTACTAACTAGTAATTAAGCATTGGCTAAACAATGAAATAATGAAAAGAAATGATTTTAAATTTTTCTAATGTAGCTTGATGATGTTAAAGCAGAGTCGGACAAAACTTAGAACTTATCAGTCAAGTTTAACCGTTTTTAAACAAATTTAAATTTAAGTTTAATAATTATTTTTTAGAAAAAAAAACTGAATTTAATACTGTAATTATTTTTTGGTTAACCTCATAGTTATGAAATTGCTATCGATAGATAAATAATTTTTTGAAGAATTAAAAAATATAAATATATTTTATATACATGACAAATAACTAGGAAAAACGCAAATATGGAAATAAATCATGTGTAAAGTTCAAAAAATTTTTAAATCTCCAATTTTTTAGGTTTGTTGCAAAGCTGAGAAGCTAATAATTTTATTAAGATGTGTTTTATTTTTGTGTCTGATGCCACTTTTTCTTAGCTTTCATCAGACTGATTTCTTTCAAAAATACCTCAAAAGATCACAAATAAAGTTGTAATAAATAAAAAAATCTAGTTAAAGACATTACCCTTAAAAATTTTAAAAATTTCCAACTTAACTCATAAATGGAGAAATCTTCAAAAAAATTACAATTTTAAAAATCGCTAATTCAACATTTTTTCAATTTACTTTTACTTATCTGTCGTAACTTTTTCAAAAATTAACAAATTAAAATCATTTTTTTTTTAATAAAAATCTTAGGTATTTCATTTTTATTTGACATAATTTTTTTGAAATTCTGACCCTTTACCAAACCCATATAATACATAATTATATAATAAAAATATAATAATGTATTATAATATACCTATGTGAATATTTTTAAACGATTATAGAAAACTAAATAATCATTTAATATTTTTATTTATAAAATATAATTAATATAATTAAAATTAATGAATAAAAGTTGTTTGTTGAACAATATAAATAAACATAAAATTAATTCTAATAATACTAATATTTCAGTGGTATAGGCCCAAAATAAATTATTAAAATAACAAATATAATAAAAAATAGTTTCAAAAATTCACTAATGCTGGATTTCTAAAAAAAGTCATTATGTTCATTAATATAATAAAATAATATTTTGACAAATAAAATTGTATTACAGATTTTTATTTCAATACTTATAATATATTTTTAAATTAGTTTAAAAAATTTTCTATCAAAAAATAAAACTTATCACAGGTACAACAATTTATGCATAATTATATTTTTAAAATATATTGTTTTATATAAACTTCAAAAATGTATTAATCAAATCAAATTAAGTAAGACTTTTTACTTTTCATTATAATTGTAATAAATAATTAATAGTTATTTTTGTACTTTTATTTTAATAAATTGCTAAGTTTATCACTTATCACAGAATACAAACTTAACAATATATTGTTTTTTAAATAAAATATAAAAAATAAAATAGGACCATAAGATTGCACATAAATTAGTTTAGTAGTATTTTTGAAAATTTAAAACTATGTTAATATATTTAAAATAAGTACATTTCAATTGTGTACCACAAGTTAAAACAATATGATAAATGTACGATAAAAACTATGATGAATAAAAAAAATTATGTGCTGACAGTAGTATTTTTCACAATACTCCTTTTAGGTTTTGATAATTTTATTATTGGACTTTTATGCCACATTTCACCATTTATATTTTTATCTTCACAAACACACAAAAATAGTGTATCAATCACCACCTAAAATATAAAAAAACTGATGAAAATTAAGTATCATAAATTTAATATCTTAATCGTGGCCATATTAAATTTAAAAAAATAAGTATAGTAAAAAAATGATTTTTGCCAACTAAATTTTTTTTTAATTGAGTGAACTTTTATTAAAGTTTATTTTTTTGTAGTAACCTTCTATATTGGAAAAATGCTAACTAAGATTATTAATTATTGACTAGTAGAGAGGGATATGCCATTCTCATGCCCCTCTCAGTTATCTTATTATTTAAACAATAAAATAATATAAAAGATAAAAATAATCTTTCTAATTAGTTTATAAAATAAATTCTTTACATAAAATATTTATTTTTATTTAAATGACATAGCATTTTATTATAATCCTACTATTGTAAAATTATACTATTTTTAACTAATTCTTAAGCATTGTTAAAATAATTTCAGATTAATTAAAAATTAAGTATTTAATGAATTTATTTTTGAATAATATATTTTCAATATACTTTATAAAAAAAAGGGTGTATATATAAAAATTTACCTCATATAATGAAATAACACAGTGGGCAATAAAAAATGAAAAAATTGAAATAATAATTATTGGTATAGAGTGGAAATGTAGCTCAGGATCTGATCGTAAATTTAACAATGCAATAACTCCAATTATTAGGGTGACAATACACTTCGCTAAAAACAAAATAAAATCTCCAATGCTATTTATTGTGCTCAGTCTCAATGCATTAGAAACTACTACATTCCAAGCCTAAATAAAAATTTAAAAAATTATTTAGTAATTTTTTTTTTTTTTAATAGTATCAATTTATACCCTAGATGCAGCTAAACAAAATCCTATACCCTCCATTGACACTATTGCATATGCATTATGATTTATGTACTTAAAAAAATTGTCAAAGGAGTACATACAACAAAAACAAGTCTTTTTTGTAAATCTACTATTTGACGAAGCATGCTGCCTGTAATAAAATAAAAATATGTAAAATTTAAATAACTTCCTATATAATAAACTTAATACTTTTGACTAAATAGTGTAAGAATAAGTCTTGGTATTTTAAATAAAATAATCAACAATGATCCTAGAGCTACTGATCCTAAATGGTAGAATCCAAGGTTACACATCGATGACAGTATAATTGATTTATCACTTGTTTTACCACTAAAAAAAATAAATAAAAATATATTATATAGGTATCAGAGAAAATGAACTAAAATTATGTATTAATATAAAACAATACTAGAATACTGATTTAAAAATAGGAACACAAAATAATTACTTTGTAAAGTACCACTTTGCAACAGCACCCGCTATGATCATGTGTTGGCAAGCTAATATAAATTCAGTTGACCAAATTAAACCAATAACATAAACCCACCACATATACCTCACCCAAGTGGCTTCTTTGAACTCTACTGCTGTCAATCCAGCTAAGTAAAAAATATAATATTTATTGTACAGCTTAAACCAAAGATTGAAATTATTATTTCTCTGTTATTTCAATAAAAATTTTACATTTTCAAGTCAATCTTTAACCAAATGGTTAAATATATAAAATTAAAGTGTTTATAATAAATTTTATAATTGTTTAAAAAACAATTTTCAACATTTTTCCTTTTTTTTTTAATTTTGTCTGCATTAATTGTTATTATTTTAAAATGCTATTATATATTATATTTGATGATAAAAAAATAAAACATTTTATTTCATTATATAAAATTATTTTATTACATAAGTTTAAAGTTTGTAAAATAGAGTTCACCCACTTAAAGGTAACATCTTAAAAACTGGATTTAACTAGTAATATAGAAAATAAAATTTAAATAATTAAAACCTCAACCACAATTAACTCTTAAAAAAAATTATATAGATTGCATAATTACTTGAAAGTAAAAACTGCCAGAAAACAAAAAAAAATAACAATTTCAACCACACAAATAAATATATGATGTAAAATAACAATTTTTTAAATCTATACCTTTAATTGATGCTAAATTTTTTATTAATGCTTCCGGAACAATAGAACTATTAGAAGTAACATTTTGATCAGGAATGTCCGTAATAAGTTTTAGTGTTTTTGTACCTGGATAATCTTTTACATAAATAAATAATTAATATCTAGTTAAAATTGAAAAATTGTATTGTTTTATACTAATACAAAAAAAATATATTATTATGTATTATAATTATACATTTTTAACATACTTGCTGTTGCCAAATGAAGAATAACTCCAATCCAACAAGCATAGAGACTTAATAATACAAAAAATGTACATAGTGGCTGCCAATACAAAGCTGGTAATTTTGATAAGCATTCAGCTGATTCATGAAATAAGGTAGAGAGAAGATTTAAACGCTTTCGCATTGCCAAAACTAAGAGTAGTATCACAACCTAGAAAAAATTAAATAGATAATTAATAAAATTTGTGAATAACTTAAAGAATTTACCGAAAATAATGAAAATAATATAGCCAGTATAAAGAAAGTGTGCTCATTACAAGCATCAACACTCAACGTTTGATATTCTGGCGTATGATCCAAATGTATTTTTAAAGTAAAGTACTCCCACCAAAGTAAAACTACAGTAACTGTAAACAATTAAAAATAAATTAAATGAATAAAAATTAAAGTAATTTCAATAAAAGACTTACCAAATACCAAAATACTAATGGATACCATTAAAATATGTGCAATAATATCTTTTAAAATATGAATTAAAACAATTATCGTAAATGACAAAACTAAAATAAATATAATTGATTTAATATTTTGCTAAACATTTTCAAAATAATATAATTACTGAATGTTAAGAGCGAGAAAAAAAACATTTGTGGCCATGTTTTATATAAATCATTTAAAATCTCTTCTGAAAAGTCCCAGTCATTAAGTATTCCATATATATTATAAATAAGAGATTTAGTTTGATTTGTCAACTCATTAGGAACACAACGATTTAACACATGATTACTTTTGTGAATTGGAAATGGTGAACAAGGTCCCAAAGTTGTAGTAATAAAACTTTTGTTTTGTGAAGTTACTGATACATTATTTACATCAAAATCATAACTAGAATTATAAAAAATTTAGGTTAGTTATTCAAATTTTAGTTTTTGTAAATGAAATTACTTTCAAATATTATTAATAAAAGAAAATTATGATAATAATAATATAACAAAAATTTAATTTTAATTGCTTTATTTACGTGCAAAGCAGTGAATCTGAACGGTTATAAAATATTTGTAAGTCTCTTAAATTTATTATATCTATATCAGGACATTTTTTAACACATATTTGAAGACTATGTTCAATATTAGCAGGATCTAAATAATACAAGAATCTGAAAAAATTTAAACATCATAGTTGAAGAACATCAACTTTACCAATAGCTATTTCAACACTTACTTTTTATCGGTCATGTCTAACCCAGACAATTCACCCATTTTTGTATTTGAAGATGAACCACAAGTATTTCCAAAGCTATCATGTCCATTAATTAGACGAAGTGGATCTCCATACACAATTGAAAACACAGCAATAAGAATCTATAAAATAAGTGTGAGATACAAATAAATGTTTCAATAATTTAAAAAGAATGTTTAGAAATTTACAAACCATCAGACACCATAAAAATAAGTAACTAAAAAGCCAAATAATATCTGTACATCCTCTAATTCTTGGTTGTCCAGGTTCTTCTGGAACATCATTATCAAATCCACAACACGTCATTCTAATAAATAACAAGTAAATGTAAATATTATAATTAAAATGCAAGTACATAATCATTAATTTGTATGCACATATAAAAAAATATCATAGATTTGTATAATGTAAATGTGTCTAATATTAAAATGTTTAGAAATAAACAAAATACACTTTTACTAACTTTACAACTAAATCATAACTACTCAATAAATAATACTTACATTAATATGTTTTTAAAAGTCTGCACTCCCCAATATTTAACTAAATCAACAAGTAATAATTAGTAAACATTCTAGAACTTATTTAAAATTCTTCACATTTAAATAAGTGGCTCATGAGTAGGTTAAAAGTAATAGATTTTTTAACAGAAAACATTGATTTTTAACTTTAGTTCACTATTCAAAAGAAAAATGAAAAGATAATTCATTTTTCAGAACAGAGTTACCCAGAGGAATATTTATTTACTTATTTATTTATGATAACAAAATTATGATAACGGTTACAAATAATAAGTTGGCAAAAACTAATAGTGATGGCATTTTTGAATATTTTTGAACATCGAGTATATCCGATAGTTTTTAATAAACTATCGAACAATTATTCGATTCTTATTATCCACGACTAAAATTTAAATTTAAAAATTACTGGATAAATCGTTGGTTTCGAATAGTTCGACAATATCCATCATTACGAACTATATCAAACTTTATTTAGTTATAAACGAACTATATATTGCACTACGTGAATACAATAGATACAAATCATGATTTACAGTAATTGACATTTTGACGACAATAGATTCGATAAAATAATTTAATATAATGAAAGTCATCAACTAAGAAAGTTGAATTGAACTCAATTAAAACGCTACATAGTAACCACAATACCATTTACTCAAATACTAAAAAATATCTCAAAATTAAACTTTTCTCGTGAAAATGTCCACAACTTCTTATTCTTTGTTTGAACAGATAAATTTTTTGAGGGATAGCACCACTGTAGAATTTTGAATAAATCGATTTTATTTTTTATTTTCTTAAAAAATACTTTGAAGCTTTTAGAATATAAAGAAAAAACTTGTAGACCGGAAAAAAACTTTTTTTTATTAAATTTCGTTTACATGGCATTAAAGTTATATCGTGGATGGAGACAGTAAAACTTTTAAGGGCATCGTGGAAAGTTGACCATATAATAATTTTGAAATAAACAAAAAGGAATGCATCGATCAAGTGCAAAACAAGATGGGCACAATCGATTGATAAATGTTAGAAAGCAAACAAAAGGACCTGGTGGAAAAGGCAAATTAACAGCTAAACTAATATACCAGTTGATGATTTATTATGGCATAGCAATACGCCATAATTGCAACTCCATGGAAGACATGAAAAATAAGATATGGGTCTCATTGTTTCACAAGAATTCAACTGATGCGAATCCGCAGCACGACAGATGCTCGTAGTCTCGGTGTGAGTAGAAAAAGGCGAGAGAGGCGGGTGCCCTGAATTCATTTTTCTCATAAACCGCCTCTTCCACAAGAAGTATTTGATATTGTAAGGCCTGTCTACAAGGAATTGAATCGTTGCTTGGGAGGCTATACCCAGAATAGCAACGAAAGTTTCAACGCCACCGTATGGAAGTAAGCTCCCAAGAATTCTCCGAGCTGTAAAAACATAATCGATATTGTAGTAAATATCGCTGCATGCAACTTCAACGACGGCATGTCAAGCATATTGGTGATCATGAAGCACTTAGCATGGAAATTGGCGTTCAGGCATATAATTTCTGCACGGAGGCCGACGCTTTACGCGTTAAGCTTGCTGAGCGCTCGTTAAATGATGCAGTAAAAGAGGCACGTTCTTCGCTAAAATCGTCGAGAAAAGAAGAAGATGTATGATAGCAATTTTAGTTATTGTAATATTAACGACTTTTATTGAGGCGTATGTTTTCATCCGTGTAATTGCGCAATGTAATATTGTAAATCTAAAGGTTAGGATTTACGGCTGAGAGAATAAGAAACAAAATATTTAGCCGATCTAATTAAATGCAAAGAAAATACGTTCAATTAAAGAATAATGACACACGTATGATTTATCTATCATTTCTTAAGTGTAGCCTTAAAAGTATTACTGTCATTTAAATTGCATGAATCGAATTATAACGAATCTGACACGATAATTATACAGGTGTACGTTAGTTAAACAGNTAATTATACAAGTGTACGTTAGTTAAACAGTAAATCTAATACTGAACAATATTATAATCTTATGACTCCGTCTAGTAGAAATTATCACATGTAATTAATCTAAAACGTTTTAATCACATTAGAATTGTGCCTGAACCATAACGAAATTTGAATCTCTTTGATAATCGATCATTTAATTTCAAAATGAACAATAACTTTAATTTTGCACTTAAAAAAACCGCTTTACAAAATCCTAAACGTCCTTCACTTTTAACAAATATAACGAATTTCTTTACCTGTTCGTATTGCGTTACACACATGTATACATCATTATAACATTATAATACGGTATTCCATTGTATGTCATCAAGTCATTCACTAATCATATTGAAAAAAAAAACACATAATATTGTATTGTAATGAGTAATTGTGTATTTTAAGTGTTGTGAAAAAAAGTTCTAATGAACCTAGTTAGAATAAAACTGCTTTTACTAATGATGATGCGATTTGTCGCCATGCACTCCACACCTGTTCCGGTTGGTGTGATAAAATTATTCCTAATCAATTCTCATTTCTGATTTTTCATTATTAAATATATAAATGACAGTTACACCAATTGTTACTCATAAATGTTTTGTGTATAACTAATGAAAGCCATCAACAACTATTTTTTAAGCGAAGGTTTCTTAGCTGAATGTAAATCTAACTGACAACTATGTCAGATTTTAAAATATTATAAGGTTTGTTGGATAATATAGCTATCGAATAATCGAATAAATTATTAATTTCATTAGTTTAAATGAATTATTAATCTAAATAATATTTTGCATCCGAAAGTGCAAACCAATGAAGCTGAGCGTTATTTTCTATTTATTAACAATATGTTAACATTAAAATTATTGTTACTTTTGCGATGTAACGGTCAGACTAGAGGACAGTGATTTATGCAGACCGTGATGCCAAATACGAACGCCCACTATTCACTCTACCGAAGCCCAGATTTTTAGACATCATCAACAATTAAACTGTCATTTACCATCTCACTCATATCACGATCAACTGATATTATCACACGCCAAATGTTTTTTTTTTTAAGATGGCCAACATTAGTAACTGTAAGCGGCACCCAAGTTATGACCCAAGTAGTAAGTAAATCCTGTTTAATTGCAGTCCAAAATTGCTGTATTTCTTATAAAGTGGATGACACTTTGGGTTCACACACGTTGAATACGATTGAATGTATTTAGATTCCTTTATCACGTATGTCGACTTGTCGCCAACAACAAAGTTGGCTGCATTATTTAATAATATGCAAAATTTGTTATATCCGGTAGACAACCATACAGTAATTTTTATGAAAAGTGTAAATATATTCATTTGATGCCAATTAGCGTTGACGTATCCAAAAAAGCGCCTGGTCTCTTGAGGCAACACTTTGATAACGAATCTGAGATAAGGTCCGGGCGTGAGTGAAGACAGTTTGAAAATTGAGAGTACAAGTACACATTGCTAGGCAAATATTGATATGCAGTATATTTATTGAAACATAATTATTACAAATTTCATATTCATAGTGTTGCTATTAATTCAATTTTTATATACTTCTATATAAGTCTAATTCTCCTCGTTCGTGGTAATTTTTGTTTTAAAAAATATTTTTATAGTATTGCTATAGAATCTCAAATAATATAAAATAATTATACATTTAGTGTTTAGTGTTACATATTATTCAATTATATCACTGTATCGTTTGACCGCTATTAGAGTAAAACTTTTACTTCCTGATTAAAGACCACGCGTTAAAACTAACGATATCGATTGGGCATTTTTTCTTTAAATTCTTTGTGTATTCATTTTATTTGCATAATGTCATACACTATCAATATTTCACATTTTATTTAAATCTGTAAGAACCTCGTGGTATTTTTTCATGGTGTTAGTAAATTAGGCAGATTCTTACAAATTTTATAAAAAGATAAAATAATGAACGTTTTTAAATTTAGTAAAAATTATTGCTGTTGTACTCATTGTAAAAAATGTTAATTATTCAACAACTATATGAATAGGTTTAGCGATTGATAATCTCTTTTCCTATTAGTAAAGACTAAGCCTTGTCATGGATGTTTAACTAGGGAAAAGGATAAATTTAATGGTTTCCCGTTACCGCAATTCATAATGAATACATACAAAAAATAATATTATTAAGACCATTCAAATAATTATTTCCCTACACATTATTTTTTATCAAGTGTAAGAATGTATAGTTTTTGTTTGAAAATAAGTGCAATTAAGATTTTTACAGTTGCACCTGCCATCACATTGGATGCTATCACACCCGTGCTAAGGATACCATGTTGAACGTTGTTATCACCGTACTCACATTACTGTATACATATATACTATAAACATTGCACTACAACTCAGCACCTTACTTATACAATGTGTATTACATGGTTTAAACACCGACCGACTGATAATCCTGTCATGACCCATTCTCCATGTGGCAACTATGAATGCATGGACCCTAGCGGAAGAAGAAAGTTTTCTATGCGAATCGTCACGTGATGATTTATTGATAAGTTCTCGTAGGGTATCCCAATTATACGTGTCTTCTTCATGACTTCGGAGGACATGTTCTTCTGATGGTCATACAATCACAGCGGAAATCCCAGTTTTAAGTTTTTATCTTTTGTATCGATGTAACGTTAACCATTTCACCAAATATTGTAATGCACATACAAAGTATCCATATTTGTAATACATTAATATCTATAGACCTTAGCGATTTCAACGGAATCCAATTAATCAATTTGCAATAAAATAAAGTGCTAACAATAGCAAGTAAAATTAATTTCTTCCGGCACAAGTTAAAAAAGCAATTTGATGGGGTTAATTATTCAAGATTTGGCTATAAACTTCAAACGCAAAACATGAATTTATTGTAATTTGTTTATTTATGAACTTTATAAAGTAATTACCAATTCCATTTTATTTTTTAAATAATTGTTATTTATTTCAGATGTACAAAGTAATCTTAAATATTATTTCAAACGCAATTTATTATTTTTGATATCAAATAGATAACAGAAAGTAAAATACACAAGGTAAAACTATACTTAAGTTAGTAATCGAATATTTGGTATAACTATTTTAAAAATTAAATACTAATCGGTGAATAAAATTTAGTTAAAGTTATGATTAAATATAAGTACAATATAAACATTTTACTAAAACACGGTCGTTTTGATTAATTTTAACGCATAAAAAGAAATTACTCAATAGTTATGTCAGTGTAGATTAAATGACATTACTTTAGATATTTTAAATTTAAAAATCGCCGTTACTTATAATAATGTTCTATATTAATACTTTCAATTTGCATACGAGCAATATTAATATTATAATACAACCAATAGATATTTCTTTGAATTGAACAAGTTAATTCGAAAACGCTGTCTAAGAGTCCAAAGGGTCTGTTGCGCTGGCCATGCATGGAGAAAGGAAAGTTCCCTTATACATATTGTTCTAAGTGATTCTCCAGAAGGTATAAAACCACTTAGCAAACCCAGAAGATGGCATGGATATAAAAGGTTTTATTTTATCATTTACCACTTATTTAATCAAATAATAATAATAATATTACAATTATTTAATTGATTCTTTCAATGACACATTTCCTTCAATTCATCATTCATGAAGTATTTTTTGTGTTCATCCCTTATACATTATTAGGGTGTCGACTTTAATTTTTGAAATTAAGACATTTATAATTAACTAGCTTATTACATATTCAAATATTTAATTAAGAAAATGATTCGTCCGTAACAACTTTATTTCAGAATATTTTAGAAATTATTAACTCTTTATACTTAAGCGGTAAGAAGAGTGAGACCGAGAAATTTTTAATGATAAAAATAGTAGTACCCATTTCTCACCTTCATTCAATAACTTTAGATTGTTATTGCCTTTTGAAATACAAGTCAAGTTGTTAACGACCAGACATTTCTTAATTAGATGATCATTATCTAATAAATAATTTTTTGATGTTTCCATTTGAAAAAAAAATTGGTACCCTTATTTTGTATAGAGAATGAACATAAAAAATACCTCATAAGTCTTTAATGATAAATTGAGAAAAATACATGAAATATATGTCAAATTCAAAAATTCCAGAATGATAGTAATTTGTAAAAATGGTCCACTTTAAATGAATTTTTTGTTTTTTTTCTGTAACAGCCAAAGCCTTAAATATTTTAAAGGAAAACATTTGTTTTTCATCTTTGTTTCACACTTTGGTTTAATACCTCCGACTAAAATATGACTTCAAATAAGAAATATTGTACACTCTTTTGAACCGAATTTTTTTTTCTTTTATAATAATATTAACATTGCCGTTCGATCAATTTAATCCACTGAGATGACGCACGAGCTTAACTTGCCGTTTTTTGGTCTATTATGTTGTACTATTTACGTTACACAACGATTTCTATTGCATTTAAACATTATATTCGACATGATTATTACAATATAATAAACATTTCGCCAATAATAAATTAAGAACAATAAAATATTTTGAGCTGAACCGCCAATAAAGTGACACAGATCACGCAATGGTTTAATGCTTTTAATTATTTTTCTTGTGGAACGTAAAAAATTGTACGTATCATTTAAAAAAAAATGAATATGATTTCACGTGACATCAAAATAATAAAAACGCGAAAGCGACAACGTGTGCGCTGACTTGCACTGAGTACCAGCGACCTGAGCACGTGCGACTTGGCGCGATCACTGCCGCGACGCCCTCAACGTCTTGTCCTCGTCAGTGTTAGCCGCCGTCGTGACCGTAACCAGCATAACATGCATACCAACTGTGATCAGATGTGTATTTGTGTGTGTATCACAGTTAGTAGTTAGTGAGAGGGTCGCGTTAGTAGTTCGGCGTCAGAGTTAACAGTAGTAGTTGTAATAATAGTGGGGCATTTTACAGATTATGTTATTTTTTTATTGTTTCATTTTGCGTAGTGTAACAATTTAGCAAATTGGCTAAGTATTATTTTCCCTAAAATTTGTAGTGAATGATGAAACTTCCATTATCACCGTGTTTCATTTTAGTCAACAAAAAATTTATCCAAAAATTTTTTTTCTAAAAATGTGAACAATTTTTATATACCAAGGGAACTTTGAAAGTTAAATATACTCACTCTTTTTGGATAATATCTTTATTAAGAAAGTTCTTTTGATTTCTGAATTATTCCATAAGGATCAAAAATTCAGACAAATATTTTCGACGCATGAAGGTATCTTTATTTTATACTATATTGTAGATACATGCGATATACGAATTTTTTTTTAATACTCACAGTGATATAAAAAAAAAAAAAAATCCTAAAAGTCGTTCATGTTTGTTATAACATTTCGATAATATATAAATCACTAAAAAGCGTCATTATATTATAATATGTAATAATATTATTTCAATTTGGGTATTCGTTGCATGATTTTTTTTATATGTATGTTGATAA